TGTGGCTACCTCTCGTCTTAAATGCAAAGGAGAGGGAAAAAAAAATACAATGGGATGCTGTTTTAGGACTTTAATGTGTTCACTTCTAAACAGCAAATGGCTCTCTCTCCTCTGAAAACTCCAGTGCCCACACTGATTGATGGAGCCAAGTGCTGTGAGAGCCACAGCCCACGTGCATGGGGCAGGAGTGCAGGCCACCAAAGGGTGGCCTCTAGATTCTTTCTGGTTCCCTGGTGTTGTCCTGCTCCCTCACCCCCACACCTTCCTGTGGCACAGGCAGCGGTTCCCTGGGCTGTCCGCAAGTCCCACGGGAGAGGCTCCAGCACTTACTAGATGCCTGACGTGTACACGGGCTGCATGGCTTGGTAGAGCTTCAGGAAGGGCCGGCACACTGAAAGAGAGGCACAGCTGTCTGTGAAGACATGATGGGACATCCGAGCAGGAGTTCAGTGAGCAAAGAAAGAGAACAGCGCTAGGAGAGCGGAGACCGCCCGTGCTGCCTCTGAGGTTTGGGACGGCAGCATGTGGGGTCAGACCTGTGCATAAGGGAGATGCCCGCCCCACTGCTACAGACAGAGGTGGGCCTGCCCGGAGGCCAGATCTGGTCCTAAGAGCCTGCAGAGCCACAGGTTGACCTTTACGCAGAGAGTGACCAGGGGCACTGAACAATCCAGCCAGGCTACCTTAACGAGCAACTCAGCAGTCACTCTGGACATGATGACCACGGGGGTCTGAAGGCACAGATGTACTTTAGAGAGGAAAGAAACTGATAAGCAAGCACCTGCAGGGGGTTGAGGAGATGGGGTCAAGTTCCTGACTACCAGCCATGTGCTGTGAGCACCTGCATGGGACTGAGGAGGAGGGGACAGGGTCCTGATCACCGACTCTGTGCTATGTACTTTCTACGGATCATTTTCAAGGGGAAGGAGAAGGTGGGATCATGAGACACACTGGGGGAGGCCTGGTCACACTCATGACACTCTCCTGTTGGGCTTCTCTCAGGGCTGGGTTAGCCCCAAGGCCAACTGCACAGATGACCCCAGAGACTGTCGACCAGAGCAACACATGCCTGACTGAGCCACTGCATGCAGGACATGGGTATTTGTGCTCCCCTCACTGGCCACCTGTCCCTCCCCTGATAAGGAGCTTGGCCCAATCCCACGTGGCCGGCACTCGGTGCACACGTGGGGTCCCAGCCAGTGACCAGGGAGGCTGAGGAGCAGACCCTGGGGTTGCCTCTGGCCCTCACAGAAGGAAAGGGGAGGCCTGTTCATGTTGAGGGAACCAGGACCAGCACCAATGGACCACCAAACACAGCACCCCGTCTGCAGGACACTCACCTCCACCCGTGTCAAAGTTGGGGGAGCCGTGGAGGATGACAAGATGCAGGAACAGAGGCGAGGTGTTCATTTTCACTGATCCCGACAGCAGCCCGCTGAGAAACTGAACATACCTGCAAAGGATAGACAGCTTAGGCTTCCCAGAAGTGCTCCCAGCTCCAGCCAGGGTCCAAGTGGGAGCTGGGAGGCAGGAGGGAACTGGGTGAGAAACACAACCTGCTTTTCCAGGGTCCCGGGGAAGAACCTGCTCCCAGTGCTCACAGCATGGTAAGGTCTCGGCCATACCCTAGAGGGCCACAGCCACATGGGGACTCCATCCCATACCCTGGGGACTTCCTGCACAGACCACGTGCCTGGCACTGAGGACACAGAAGCACAGCAGCTCCTGGGAGTGGGCGTCCCATACCTGGAGACTTCCATACCTGTCCATAGAACCCAACGCCGGGCAGGGATAGGACACGAGGCTAGCACATGGGTGTGCCCTGTAGCTAACATGGCACCTGTGATGGGGGCACCGAGCTCAGAGGAGTCCGCGTCCCTGTCCTACTCTGCAGCCTTTGATGCCACACCTGATAGCAAGAGCCTCCCCTACCTGCACTCCCCTCTTCATGCCCAGCTCCAAGGCAGAGGCCACATCTGCTGTGGGCCTGGAAGACGTGACTCTTCCTCTTGGAGTTCCAGGCACCAGCCTTGTGCACCTGTGCTGACAGCATATCCCCTTCCGTGTGCACTTGGGGTCAAGAATAACATTTCTGCACTAGGAATGTTTATCACCAGGGCCCTTCTGAGGCATGACATGGTGGCAGTGACCAGAAAGCAAGCCGGACCGCCTGCCGTGCTCACTGATGCTCACTCAACCTTGGCCTCCCTCCCATGCCTACCTTGGAGGCCGGTTCTGTATGCACCTGGGCCCCAGGGCCTGGCCCCTGTCCTGAGGTCCCTCACCATGGCCGCACTGCAGCCACATAACATCAACTGTAGCCGGCAACACCTGGTGTGGAATCTATTTGTTTACATGTCTGTCTCCACCAAAGCACTGCAATCTTTGCAAGAGAGAAAAACCCAAACAATCAAAACCCCACAATATCTACCCATCAATGCATATCTCTCACACCCATAGCAGACCCAAGTAGGAAGCAGCCCTTCCCAGGACGGAAACCAGCATTAGACTTGCCCTTACTTAGGTTAAAAAAAAAAATCTCTAATTTATGCAGGCAATTCATACCCAGTCCTTTATTCAAGCAGCTGAATTTACACACAAAGCAAATTGCACAACAGGAAAACTTCTGATAAGTATTTTTTTAAAAATCCCTACTTATAGTCCACCCTCATAACCACTTGTAAAAGCAAAACCTTACATTTCCTCTAGGAAAATGTTAGAAAAAAGTGCTTGCTTCAACTTAGGTACAATGTACAGCAAAAAACAGGGCATTTTGGTGTTTCCTCCTTATGGTGGCAAATTGCTCTTCTCTTTCAGAATAGGGTGAAACCTCAGGAGAGTCACAGACACCTGACAGTCCCCCTCGAGACCCTCGGGCCCTGCGAGGCCATATGACCAGGCCACAGCGGCTGGGCCTCCATGCAGTTCCCACGTGCCTTCCCTGCCAGGTATTTTCTGCCCTGACAACAAGACTCAACTTCTGCTGTATGCAGACAGAGCAACTGGTGACTCGTCTATTCTTAATCATCTAAATGTTATTACGCCTTGCAGATTCCATGGGTTCTGTGGCTCCCTGGTTTTGGGCAAAGGCCAAGGGATCAGAGACATTTGGATTAGGGGCCTGAGTCACCACGTCTGGGCAGTTTTTCCTCCATCCAGCACTGGGCAGCCCTCGACACGAGAAAACCTGCTTCCTCCACTGGTCCTGCTTGTCCTGTGTGTCGGCAGCCCAGCGGGTTGACTCCATTAGTGCCTGGAGGTTTGCTTGGTGCCTTTGCAGTGACAACTCAGGTGAGATGACACCTTATCCTCTGCACATTCTCAGGGCCAATGTACAAGCAGATCCAGGCCTCGGGGTGGAATGAGTTTTTGTTTTGCATTTTCCTGCAAACGTGGATCGTTCTGCAGTTCTAGGCCTGAGGGACTCCTGGTGATGCAGCGTGAACAGCCAGAGAAAAAGCACAAAAAGTCACTTCCTTCATGGGAGGACAGTCAAGGTGATGGCAGAAGAATTTCATTTCATAGCAAGCTCTCAGAGAAAGAGGCCAAAGACCAGGGCCAGAGGCTCACTCATGGTTAGATGGGAAGGGAAGGAAGCCACTCGCCACCTGGGACCCAGGACTTCCCAGGTCCGGCTCTCTACAGTCCCAACTTCCCAGATTGGTCTACATAGCACTGCTTGCTTCATAACTTAACCTATCAAAAAGTAATACATTCAAATAAGCTCTTGGCGTACAATTCTTAACTGTCCTTTCTTGAAAATTAGTTTTTATAAATTCATATTTTCAGGTGAATGAAAGCAAAAAAATGT